GAATAACGGGAAATCCTCGATATGTTGGAAGTGTGGAGAGATCGTTGGGAATTACTACCACATGTGGTGGCAATGCCCAAAGGCACAAAAAGTTTGGAACTTATTAAAGAAATGGCTGGAAGAAATTTTGCTAATAGATATACAGGCCAAACCAGAATTTTTTTGTATTGGGAATTATAGAAAGAAAATATAAGAAAGACACAAATTATTTACTACGGCATATAGTAACAGCGGCACGAATAGCCTTTGCTCAGAAATGGAAAGAGAAAGATACTCCAACCGAAGAGGAAATATTACTGAAAATTTTCAATTGCGCTGAAATGGATAGACTTACATTGGAACTCAAGGATAAAAGTGAAACTAAGTACTACAAAATCTGGGAACAATTTTATGATTGGATAGACAATAAGAGGGTAGCCAAGACAAATGTATAGTGTTAGAATAAAATATAGATTATAGACAAATGTATATTTAAAAGATAAATAGATATACAGAAATAAGGGAAAAAGTGTTAATATTATATTATAAATAGTGAGCAAAGCTCAAGAATTACATGTCTATATGAGTACTAATACTACTGTAAAATGTCGGAAGATGTATGGAACCAGTGACGTCATATCTATGTCCAATGTGTTTTTAATTTTGTATTATTAATAAAAATTAAAAAAAAGAATACCAGAAAGGCACACCCAGACTCAGGTCAGAATACGTCACACAGGAAATACAAAGCCTGAAACAGGAACAGGAAACTACTTCAAACAAAAGACTCGAGAGGAGTATAAAAACCTACTACCCACATGTGCTCAGTCCTTTTTCTCTCCTCTTTCCTGCCAGAACCATCTTTCTGTCTGGCTCTCCAATAAACTGCAACCTTCTTTCTAAAGCAGTCGCCATGTTGTTTATTTATCCCCGGCTTACATGAACCAGGATGAAGACTTTTCTTTCAACAAATGATATATAAATTTCAAAATAAAAAGCAATTTTTCACAATATTGCTAACTAAACCTCCACTGCCACCAATGTTTCTGGTCTGCTTCCCTGGATTTTCCAGATTTTTGCACATTATAATCTTAAACCAGAGGTTTAAGAAAGCAGTTGTAATTTTTCATTTTTAAATAGACTCAGTACTGGAAGGTAACCTCAGCTAATTTCTTTTAAAAGGACCAAAATCTTTTCTCTCTCTAAAGGAAGGGGAGGAGCTGGAGGGAGCCTGTCTTTTGCTGCATGCTCAGTTTTCATGTTGATTGCAAACGTCTGCTGTCTGCCTGGCATGCAGCTGACAGACTGTGAAAGCAGACTGGAATGGTTTCTCAATGAAAACCTACTGTGTTTAGACAATATAATATTTTGCATGTATAATTAAAATATGCAAGTGAGCAGTTAATTTGGATGTTAGTGGTTGAGGCCATCAGAAGAGCAAGAACCACCCAAAGCTGTAAAAGAGGAAGTAAAGCAGTTAACTGATTACCTTGTAGCAACATTTGTGCATTTGGGGGCTAAATGGTACACAGTAAGATCAGATATGATCAAACCTATACCATTAACATAAAGACTTTGAAAAATAATGTATAAAAATAGCTAACTAGGTCTACCTTCAAAGCAATTCCTATACAGAAGATGCACAAGCACAATAACTGTTCTGATAGTTCCTGAAGTCCTAAAGCAATTTAAAGGTTTTTGACTAGGCCAACCTCTTCGCTGTTATCTATTGCTTTTTTCAAAGATCCTATGTGTTTTAATGTTCCTCCAAAAATACATATATGTAAAAGAAGAAAAATACAGAATGTTCATAGGGGAAAAAAATCCCAAGGTATACTATATGGTCTATCTATATTCTTTATTAAATGATAGTCCTCACTTAACAATCACAATTGAGCCCAAAATTTTGGTCATAAGTCATTGTGGTCATTAAGTGGGTTACCATATGATCTGACTCAATTTTATGATTATTTCCATGCCCAAAATGCAATCACATGACTGTGGGTTGTAGGGGGGGGCAACAGTCATAAATTCAAGGACAGATTGTATTTGAGGTCCACTGTAAAGTGACTGCTTAAGAGATTGGTTATTAAACAAGGACTAACTATTGTCCACAGTTTGAATCAAAATATTGTTCCATAGGTGGATTTATTTTCATAATTATGCTTGGAGGAAAGAAGATGTATACATGCTCAGAATTTCTAGAGTTTTAGTTAGCAGTAGATCACTTTGATACAGTACAAAATTGTAAACTATATATAGTGTTCCTAGTGTTCCTAATGACAAACCCAGGACAATTTGAAAAACAAAAATGATTGTAACATTGTTGTGCATAATAGATAGCAACCCAAAATTGTTGCTATGTACACAGAATTTTATCTTTACAAAGGATTCTTCCAATTCCCAGAATAACAATGTCTGGTATTCTTTTTGTGCTGATTTAATATATGAATATAGAAGTATGCGCAATGAAAACTTACTGATACAATAATAGATGAAAAACTTCTTGTGCAATTCTAATTTATGACATACCAACTAGGGATTCTGAAAAAATATTTGGGATTTATTGAATACAATTTGTTTTACTCCATATGATGTTTTCTTAACTACTGTCTGGATGTTCTTAAGCAGGCTGTCCTTTTTGTCTTTTACTTTTTAAAAGATTAGAGGCAATTGTTTAAGTCAGGGGTCTTCAAACTTGGTCCTTTTATGACTTGTGGATTTCAACTACCAGAATTCCTCAGCCAGGCACACTGGCTGAGGAATTCTGGGAGTTGAAGTCCACAAGTCATAAAGGGACCAAGTTTGAAGACCCCAGGTTTAAGTGCTGGATGTTATATATTTGCAAATCACTATCCAGTTTCTTTATATTAAAGTATTAAATTTTAATTACCTATGGTTGTTTTTAGCAGGCATGAGTCTTCTTTGTGCGTATTAAAATGATTTGTATTGAAAAGAGAAGTATTATTTATATTATTTAGAATCTCAGAAATTGGTGCCTCACCCTTTTGTTCTCATTATTTCAGAGCCTTCCCTGAGCTCTTATGTTGAGTCACTTAACTTCCAGCTTGTTTGAGGTGGAAGAGAAAAGATAGATAGAGCAATAAAGTTCCTGACCAGCAGTAATTATTGCTTTGTCCTGTTCCATGGATGTTTAACTCTTGTTTCTCCTTGCTGAGCACTTCAGCGCTATTACACCAAGTAGCTATTTCCCCATTCTTGTTACAAGAGGAATGAGGCAATAATGACACCTAGGCTGAATAGTGACAATTTTATATTTATATTTTATATTTATCTAATTAGAAGGTTTTTACTATTTGAATCTCTGTATCTTATATTATTCATTTGGAGGGAACTCTGGAAAGCTTATCCAGTATTGGACATTCCAAAGACAGTAATCATGGCCATGCTTAAAAGGCACTGAACAATGTTTAGGAGATTTTGAATTCTAAAATGTCTTTGCATAGGAAAAATAACAACAGCTAAACTGATGAAATCAAAATAGATTGTATAACAAATGCTTGAATAAATATTAATATAAGCACAACCACTAAGCTATCTTTACACTTTTAAACCCTACTTTATTGTCTTAATAGTAATTTCCCAAAATATATTACACAAAAAAATTAACTATGTTATCTGTAAAATAAAAAGGTTGATGACTGTCCATTTCCTAAAGAATATATTCAATATTTTAGGCAAGGTAATAATTGATAACATTTCTTTTGGTAAAATATATGTATGTCTTTTATTGATAAGATTTAGACTCAAGCATCAAAATTGTTTTAAAATTTTATATTCAATTTTAGAATTTTGTAACACTTCCTTCAATTAAAAAAAAGCCTCTGAAGAATAAGCATTCTGAAAGTTCATTCTGTAACAGTGAGTGGCAATCAATTGTGCAAAAACAGCCAAAGTTGAATTTTGATTTGTGTTATTTTATTTTTGACAGAAAGTAACCCTAACTTTTATTTCTAGAAAAGCTGGTTGCTTATCAAAGAGAGTTTCACGCTTTGAAGGAACGCCTTCGCATAGCTGAGCACAGAACCCTGCAACGTTCTTCTGAATTAAATACCATCTTGGAGCAGTTCAGACGGGCAGTAGCAGAAACAAATGGAAGTAAGGATGCATTGAGCAGTGTTTCAGGTACAGAATGATGAATTTGAAGATTATTGGGCTTGCTATTCTCACTAGGTCTGTCCTGCTTTCCATAAGTCATAGAATACAAAACTCCTCTTACATTATTATTTCTCGCTTTCATATGCAATTGAACATAAAATACTACTTTTATTTATTACTTCTCTTTATTACTATTGTCTTTCACTTTTCTCTCTGTACCAGGAATTCTCAAGAAGTTGCAGTATAATTTGAGATTTATTTTTACTTTGCATGGACATGGATAGCCTCTTTTGAGAGTTGTTTGTTCTGCCATGAGATTTAGTAAAGATTAATGATAGGCACGTATTCACTAATCCTATTCAGACTCTTCTCCCATTCATTCACAAACACACACACACACACACACACACACACCTGCCTTTTATTATGCTGTCGGCTTCCTCCTCCATCTATACATAAACAAGGGAGATCTGTGACTTATTTACTTGATGATCAGAGCAACAGCATTTATTCTGCTAGTAAACCTCTTAGGTTGCATTGGATGCATTGAAAGAAGGTAGTATTGTTCATAGGCTTAACTCAGGTCTTAGCCATTTGTTTTTGCCTTTCCACCCAGAAAATCTTGGGAAGTATGACCTCCAGAAAACCAGAGACCACTCTGTGATAGAAAAGTGATATAAAATGTCAAACCCTTGCAACTGGCCAGTGGTTGGCTTGTTTGGTTGATTTGGTTTTGCAGCCCAGGCTCCAGGAGGGGATAGAAGCAGAGAAGAAAGACAATAGAATCCCCCAAAGGATGGAGGAGGATCAAGGGCAAACTTTCAAAAATCTGGCTACTTTGACAGAACCCCGAATATCTGGCCACCCTAGATGGAAATGTTGCTTCCATTCTTAAACTGATTGACTAATATGATGTATGAGAAGTTGTTTCCATTTCTTTTGCACCATTCGACTATCTAATTACAAGTTTTTTTATTATTTGATGCTCTATATATCTTACATTTGATCCATTGCACTAAGCCATAATATAAAATTCATTAAGAGACTAGACAATCTATGTCCTATATTTTACTTACCTAAGGAGATAAATAGAATGATCACCGGGAGGGGGGGGGAGAGGACAAAAAAGCAGTGTAAGTGAGAGTAACTTCCAACTTCTTGCCAGCTTCCCTATTGACTTTGTGGGAAGCTGGCAGGGAGTGTCAGAAAACAAAATCCTGTTGACAGTGGCTGACCATAACGACACTCTAGTAGCATAATTTGGCAAATAAAATTGGTGTGTGAAGATCTTTGAAATTTTAATTACATGGGAGTAAGGGTCCAAAAGAAATGAATTTTCTATGCATTCTTTAAGTGAGAGGATTTGAAGTACTTTGATTAAAAAATTGTTGCCCTACGATGCACTGTTTTGGCTAATTAGATGTTACAAACAAACAGGAGAGTTTTAGTGGTATGTGGATATGCAGCTCTTTAGATCATGCTCTGAAAAGGATGTGGTATGCTTGCTGCCACCTGTCAGCTGTTCCTTTAAGAAGATGTCCCTTTTCCTGGACTTGCCTGATATCCCAGAAAGATATTCACTTGAATAAAAAATAATAATTAAAGGGGTTTGAAGAGTATACAAAGATCTTATTGCAACCTCCCTAACTTAAATGCATATTTTCCTGGGACTTGTTAGTATTACCTAAGCCTAGGAAAACATGCAACTGTTTCGAAGAGGTGCTAGAAGTGAATATACCCATGACCTTATGCAAATGTACCCCTTGTGTTTGCTTTTAGATGAAACATTAAAGTTATTAAATGAACTGACAAGCAGAAGATCTCTTCAAGTGCCAAATATATATTACCACTTGCCTCATTTGTTGAAAAATGAAGGAAGCCTTCGACCCTCTGTACATGTTGGCCTCGGACGAACAGGAGGTAAGCTAGCAAAATCAATATGATTGATAGTGTGATGCACTTAAAAATGTACTTGAAAATCTGTTGTAGATAGATTCAGTGTGTCTTCTGAGAAACAAAGTGAAATTTTCTTTTCTTGTATATCTTTTAGAATTCAAATGGAATTAATTTTTTTAAACTTTGTTTTCAACCTTTTTGCTTATTGTTTCATACAGATCCTACTGTTTTGATGCTAAGGTATAAAAAAAACAATGGATGTGAAACAGCATGTATTTGCCTTAATGAAAAAAAATAACAATGCATGAAATTTTGAAATCATAATTTAGCAAATATGGATGCTGCACAGCTTTCATAACACTTTAAAAGTAAAATAAATAATTGGATTAGTTTATCTTTTTGATTTTTCACAACTGTTTCAACAGAGTCAGTAGCTTTAATAAAATGTCATATTTATCCTGATCACCTTCTTATTCAGTTATTGAATAAGAGTAATGAGTAATTAGAATGGGCATTGAACATATTGTAGGAAAACATGCACATTACAGTGAGGGAAAAAATTATTTCATCCCCTGCTGATTTTATATGTTTGTCCACTGACAAAGAAATGATCAGTCTATAATTTTAATGGTAGATTAATTTTAACAGTGAGAGACAGAATAACAACAACAAAATCCAGAAAAATGCATTTCAAAAAAGTTATAAATTGATTTGCATTTTAATGAATGAAATAAGTATTTGATCCCCTATCAATCAGCAAGATTTCTGGTTCCTAGGTATCTTTTATACAGGCAACGAGCTGAGATTAGGAGCACTCTCTTAAAGGGAGTGCTCCTAATCTCAGCTTGCTACCTGTATAAAAGACACCTGTCCACAGAAGCAATCAATCAGATTCCAAACTCTCCACCATGGCCAAGACCAAAGAGCTGTCCAAGGATGTCAGGGACAAGATTGTAGACCAGTGGTGGCGAACCTAGGGCACGCGTGCCAGAGGCGGCACTCAGAGTCCTCTCTGTGGGCACGCGCGCCATTCCCCAGAGATGGCAACTGTCCCTCTTCAACCAGCCGCCCGCTAACTCGCCGAGATCCCACGTGGCTGGATGCATCCCAGCACCCATTGCTGGCCTCTGTGTGCAGGGGCCGATGGTGTCAGGCAGCAGCCACCCAGCCCCTGCCTCACCTTGCCCTGTGACAATGGCACCCCTGCCCTCCCTTGCCTCACCTTGCCTCACCCCGCAGGACGAGCCTCCTGCCCACTGCCCCACCTGCCAGAGATCCCCTGGATCTCCCCCAACCCTGCCCGGCCCCCACAGGCGTCCCTCCCCATGAGCAACATTGAGGTGATCACGCCCACCTTAGCCACACCCACCCAGTGGGCCACGCCCACCCGGCACTTGGTGATAAATAAGTGGGTTTTGGGTTGCAGTTTGGGCACTTGGTCTCTAAAAGGTTCGCCATCACTGTTGTAGACCTACACAAGGCTGGAATGGGCTACAAGACTATTGCCAAGCAGCTTGGTGAGAAGATGACAACAGTTGGTGTGATTATTCGTAAATGGAAGAAACACAAAATAACTGTCAATGTCCCTCGGTCTGGGGCTCCATGCAAGCTCTCACCTCGTGGTGTTTCAATGATCATGAAAACAGTGAGGAATCAGCCCAGAACTACATGGGAGGATCTTGTCAAAGATCTCAAGGCAGCTGGGACCATAGCCATCAAGAAAACAATTGGTAACACACTACGCCATGAAGGACTGAAATCCTGCAGCGCCTGCAAGGTCTCCCTGCTGAAGAAAGCACATGTACAGGCCTGTCTGAAGTTTGCCAATGAACATCTGAATAATTCAGAGGAGAACTGGGTGAAAGTGTTGTGGTTGTCAACACTGTGACACTGGATGTTCCCATTCTGACAACTAAGGAAAATTGCAACCAATTTTACTCTGCTTTCAGCTTGCTTTTTCTGTTGTTTAGGAATCAGATGTAGAAGGGGAGATGGGGTGAATGCTTGAGCTCAGCTAACCACAATAATAATGCAACTCGTGGGAACTCAAGGTCACAAACTGATAACGTTTTGGCGGGCTGAGGAGCTGGAGAAGGAGCCCGCACTTCAGGCTAATTGGAGAATGTGATTAGTGACTCTTCCAGGGTGTGGGAATTGCAACTTGTTACTTTGTATCTGGGGGAAGGGAATTTAGTTTTGGATTCAACTATGTAGTGCTGATACTGTGTATCCTAATAAAATGTTCTTTAAGGAAGAATTCTTGCCTTGAAGTTCTTTTGATAGGTTTCATTTATCAGAACCATGACAGTGGTCAGATGAGACCAAAATTGAGCTCTTTAGCATCAGCTCAACTGATGAGGAGTAGGAATGCTGCCTATGACCTCAAGAACACCATCCCCACTATCAAACATAGAGATGGAAACATTATGCTTTGGGGCCTATATGATAACGAAAAACAGATGGTGTTGATATTCATTGATGCGCAAAAAGCATTTGACAACGTCAAAGGGGACAGGACAACTTCACCCCATCAAAGGGACGATGGATGGGACCATGTACCGTCAAATCTTGGATGAGACCTTCCTTCCCTCAGCCAGGGCATTGAAAATGGGTCGTGACAATGACCCAAAACTCACGGCCAAGGCAACAAAGAAGTGGCTCAAGAAGAAGCACATTATGGTCCTGGAGTGACCTAGCCAGTCTCCAGACCTTAATCCCATAGAAAATCTGTGGAGGGAGCTGCCAAAAGTCAGCCTCAAAACCTTAATGACTTGGAGAGGATCTGCAAAGAGGAGTGGGACAAAATCCCTCCTGAGATGTGTGCAAACCTGGTGGCCAACTACAAGAAACATCTGACCTCTGTGATTGCAAACAAGGGTTTTGCCACCAAGTACTAAGTCATGTTTTGTCGGGGTCAAATACTTATTTCACTCATTAAAATGCAAATCAATTGATAACTTTTTTGAAATGCATTTTTCTGGATTTTTTTGTTGTTATTCTGTCTCTCACTGTTAAAATAAACCTACCATTAAACTTATTGACTGATCATTTCTTTGTCAGTGGGCAAACGTATAAAATCAGAAGGGGATCAAATAATTTTTTCCCTCGATGTATATTAGACTTCAGACATTATAGTAAATGTATATTTTCTTTCAAAAATTATAATCCTAAACATATGTGCTTGAGAAAAAATATGGCTGCTTGATTAGAATTTTGGATATTTGCAAGGCAGTATTTTCCCATATATAATGTTTATAGATTTACACGTAATCCTTGTTTAGTGACCTGGCTAGAATAAGATCATATAGTTGTAATTTCACATAGTGACTCATTTGTTTAACCACTGAGTTGCTGGCCCCAATGGTAGTTGCTAAATGAGGACTACCAGTATTTAAAAGATTTATAAGGCCATCCCTCTACAACTTGCAATTCTGGGTGTTGTAAAAACTATTATACATCAGCAGTAAATACATCTACAGTAAAAATAAATACAAAAACCAACAAAAAAAACCCCACACGGCCAAAACCCAAAGATATAATGAACACACAATTGAGATGGCTATATATAAAAAAACAAGCATCATAGATTAGCTTATCCACCATCTTGGCCATACATAGGTGAAAAGCCAGCTTGTGGCAATTTGAACATCTGGGTAAACTCATTCCAAAGGGCAGGGGCAGAATAGAGAAGGCCCATTTGCTAGGTCCTATTAGGTAATATTGTTTCAGAGAGGGAACCTGGAGTGGTGCCCATTTTGTGCAACCTTGTTTTATCGGTATGATACTGGGTTGCTATGCTTATATTACTGATTTTGTACACTGGATGTAATGTTTTCCTTATCTAATTTTGGATGGCTTATTTTTATAGAGCAATCAGCTTTAGTGAGAAAATGCATTTTGCAGGCTTTACACTCTTTTGAGGCAACAGGTTTTCTTTGTTCTAATGCATGTTAGGCATGAAAGACACAAGGTCACGCATTAAGATTTATAGCAATCTATGTATGCATGCAAACTGTTTTAAAGATAGGCTAAGGATATCTGTTTCTCATATGCTTGCTGGATAACAACTTAATTTTAAAATCTTTCTCTAGTAGACTCTTGGTGTTACAAAAATCATTGTCACATTCAGTGAAATTTGGATATAAGTGTTTTATATTAAAATATGTGTCAGAACCCATTCCTATTTCATTTCTATCTATCCCCTCTGACTTAAAAACAAATCTCACCTTTCCCTGGGTTCTGCCATACTCCCAAAGGGGAGGAGGGATGTGCCTGCGGAGTTATTGCTTTCACTTCGCTACAATGTAACATTTGCTTCATTTATTACCGCTGTGTCTGCTGCCCGCTACAATGTAACAAATTGCTTCCTGCGCTATGTCTTTCTCTGAACTTTATCTTCCTAAACTGTCAGTTAGAATAAAGGAGGAAATAAGGAATGTAACCCAGTGCCTGGTTTATTTCTACGCTCTCAGAGGAAGGTGTGAAGAAGCTGCTGACCATCGCTGCATGAACTGGAGACGGGCCGATGTTCTCTCCCCTTTCCCACAATGGACTTAATACCTGGAGATTGGCCGTTCCATACCAGATGGGCGGACTGTGGGGTGGGGCCTAAGTTGGGGATATCTTTATCACTCTGTGCGGGAAATCTCAGATCCTGTCTATTATGCCTGCTATCAACTACTCTTAATAAAAGTTCCTGTTGGAAGAAACCGTCTCCAAGAGTTCTGCTTTCTTAAGATGAGGGATTGAAGTGGGTCCTTACATTAGACAGGATCTGCAGTAACAGTCAACCTGGAAGTAAGACCCTTACTGGGGGACTTTGCAAAATCTACAATGTCGGACGATGGGGTAGGGAAGGAAGAACCCACCGTGAAAGGGAAGCCCTTCTTCCGGCAGGGACCCTGCCAGCTGTCAGGATCTGAGACGTCATACTTCTCAGAAGAAGTGGTGGAAATGTGTTACCACAAACCTCAGTAGTCGATGAACATTGGCAAGAAAGATGAGTGGGAAAAGAAATTGAGGAA